TTCTAGAAATAAAAGTTTTAAGAAAACAGTCTCATAACATTTAAGTTTTCTCACCTATTTGTTCTAGAGAGCGGACAAAAAAAGGTAAAAAAGGTAACCATGTTTTTGCCAAATTAGCACGCAGTACAACTGAACTCAAATAAAAGTAATTATAAAACAAATAGTAGTATTTTAAACAAAAATTTGTTTTGATAATTAACTTAAATTAATCTTTTTTTCGCATAAAAAATTTAAACTATTTTATATAATTATTAATTAAAAAAGTGTATAATATTTAGTGAAAAAAATTGTTTAGCAAATAATTAATTGCTGTTAAAAATGACAGTAGAAATAATATTTCATATAAATAAATAAATTAGATATTATCATAATTTTTTAATTACTGTAACTAAATTGATTTATTATAGTTATTAAAAAATTACTCAACAAAAGTTTCAATAAAGAGTGAGGTTTAAAATTTATAAGAATAAAAGTTTCTATGCTTGCCTAAATCAATAAGTAATAAAAGAGGCACAATTAGCAGCAAAATTAAACCACAAAAATTAATAATTATTTTTGGTAAATATACTTAATTTTGTGATTCTTAATAATACTAAGATTAAATTTGATCATTTATTTTAATAATTTGCTTTGGAAAAAAGATATCCACTCAAAGATCATCTCAAAGAAAATTACAAAAAGGAATGTTTAGTAAAAATTAAAAGTTTTGGTTAGATGATTGTATGATCTGAATCACCTAAAGAAGAATTCAGAGAAACTAAACTTAATCTAGGATCTTATGTGTGTTAATTGAACTGGAAAATATGCAATTTTTTGTACGGTTAAAATCGAAAGATTTCCATATTGCACTTTAACCGAACTTTCATTATAATAGTTTTTTACTTGAAGAATAAAACTAAGTATAAAAACTAAAGCATATTTTTTGCATTTCATCAAAATTAAACCACATTTACATGACATGTTATCGAAATTAAACAACATTTACATGAAATTTTATCGAAATTAAACAACATATACATAACATTTTACTGAAATTAAACGACATTCTTTGTTGAGAATTTTAATGACTTTCAGTTTAACTATTATAAATTAAACTTTTATAAAAGTTTACTTAAATTTATAAAAAATTTAAATGAAAAAAATCTTATATTTTTCAAATGCCATTATAAATACATTAAAATCTGATATTTTTCAAATATCGTTATAAATGCTTTATAAACTATATTCTTCAAAATATTCTTCAAAAATCGTTATATATGCTTTAAAATCTTTTTTTATGGCATTTGTTCTTGCTGTAGTTTTTAAAATGTTTTTCTTTTTCTTTTGAATCATGATTTTTTTAGTATCAACCTAGGTAACTTTTTTAGTATCAAACTTGGTTCGCGGTGCTCTGTGATAAGACCGAAAGGTCTTCTTGTAGCACCTTAACATCTAAAACAAAAAAACAAAAACAAAAAAAAAGAATAAAAAAATTTAGATATCTCAAACTTTTTCTCAACAGTTAGCACCTAAACAAAATAATTGATTGAGTATTATGTTGGTATGTATAAGAGAATGAACACATGAGATTTTTTTTTGCTTACATCATATAAAAATGCTTGTGTTTTAAGATTCGTTTAATTTTAGAAGTCTAAGTAGCGTGTTGTTGTTGATATTTTTGAAAGCACTTCATGAAAGAATTTCTTTCATCATTCATTAGAATTTCACGAGTCATGAAAGCCTACTGCGGCAAAATTTTTTACAAATACTTAACACAAGGATAGAATTGTACTTTAATTGAATTAATAATACAAAAGTTAAAGAATTATTTTATTTGGTCACTGAAACAAATTTCTATATCTTGTCACTAAAGTTTTATAAGTTCTTTTATTTGGTCTTTGAAAGTTCTTTTATTTGGTCTTTGAAAGTTCTTTTATTTGGTCTTTGAAAGTTCTTTTATTTGGTCTTTGAAAGTCCTTTTATTTGGTCTTTGAAAGTTCTTTTATTTGGTCTTTGAAAGTTCTTTTATTTGGTCTTTGAAAGTTCTTTTATTTGGTCTTTGAAAGTTCTTTTATTTGGTCTTTGTAAGTTCTTTTATTTGGTCTTTGAAAGTTCTTTTATTTGGTCTTTGAAAGTTACAGTTTAAAAGTTACAGTTTCAAACCCAGTGGACACGGTACGCTTTATAAAAGTTCTTTGGACGTTTTTATTAGATTTAAATCTAATAAAAATGTCCAAAAAACGTTTTAAAAAACCTTGTCCACTGGAAAGTTACAGTTTGAAAGCTACAGATAGAAAATTTGCATAAAAGTTATAGTTTACATGAAAACCGATTAAATGCAACAGTTTGCATGAAAGTCAAATAGACTTATTTTTTGGTACTTTTATTTTTTGGGGAAACGTTTTTATAATCTTATATTTTGCTTACCGTAATTAAGGCTCAAAAAATCTTTTTTGTTTTGAAAAAATGCTCAATAGAGTTTTTTGGTTCTGTTATTGTTAAGACAACCAAAAATATGTTTTATATATCTTTGCGTTTAAATTATGTGCTTGAAAAGGTTTAATATTATTTTTTAGATTCCTTTTTTAAGTATATGAATGCTTAAAAAAGGAAAAAACTACTTTTTAAGTAATTACTTGCTTACTCAATTTTTATTTTTTGATTCATTTATTGTATGCGAAAAAATTAGTAAAAAGCCTTGGTGGGTAAGGATTTGATTTTTTGTTAACAAATGCAGCTTAAACCATTAAATAAACTACTTTTAAGGTTTTCTAACATTTCTTTTTTTAATACATTTTTAATGTAAAATAATTTTTTGTTAAAAAATTTTTTAAAAACTTTTATTTATGAGATTTTAAACTAACAAACTTGATGGGTTGGCCACCCCATCTCCATGGAGATGATGGGATGACCATGGAACTAGATGGGGTGGAGATAGAAAAATTTGTATGGGTATGGGTTGGGGACGGGGATGGTTTTTGGCACCGTGTCACTCTCTAGTTTGCATTCGATAGCTATTCGATAGCTATTTTATTCGATTCGATTATTATTGCATTCGGTTGCTATTTTATTTGATAGCTACATATTGTAGCTTTGTAGCTATAAAAATAATTGGTTTAGATAAAAATACTATTGTAATAATAAAAAAGAAATTTTTATTATAAGTAAAAATGAAAAAAGTTTAAATGGTATAAATAAATATCTGACGTAATAAAATAATAACGTTCGTTGCTACAAGTTGGTTTACGACACCTTTTGCAACTTTATAAAAATATCTAATAATAACAATTTAGTATATGGCATAAATATGAACAATTTAACAATATGAATTTTTATTAAAGAGGCGATTAATGAATAAAATGTCTTAAAAAACTACAATCTAAATCTACTTAAAAAAAAAATCTGCTAAAATTTGAATCTGATTGTCTTTAAAAAAACATATTTAAAGTAACTGAAATAAAGCATATCTAAAGTAACTGAACTAAAACATATTTAAAGTAACTGAAATAAAGCATATCTAAAGTAACTGAACTAAAACATATTTAAAGTAACTGAAATAAAGCATATCTAAAGTAACTGAACTAAAACATATTTAAAGTAACTGAAATAAAGCATATCTAAAGTAACCGTAATAAATTAGTTCCAATTATAAAAATAATTATGAAATAGAGGGCTAATGCAACTTGACCAATACTTTATATCAACTGCCTAGCAAAAAAAGCGAAAAATTCAGAAATTGAGGACTAACCTTAAGCAACATGACATTTGCTAATGGTGTGCTAAGTTTTATGACTTACCTTTTTGTTTGTGCTCTTCGATAAGTGAGTTAAACAAGTATAATGCTTATTAAACAAAACAGTGAAAGCAAAACTTCTAAAAATTTTATTTAGATAGATAACTGATAACAATACAAAACAAGTATATTTATGCAATAAATGTTTACAACGTTAACTTATAAACAACAACATGAATATTTAGGCAGCAATACAACTTAGATGTCGAGTTCCCTTTTATAGTTGAAAAACTTTTATCGTCTTAACGCCCCACCGGCTGGAGTAAACTGCATTAAAAAATATATATATCATCTAAAAAAAATTATTTGCCCTAAAATCTTTTATAACATATAGTTATTTTACTTAGATTTTCTATTTTTATTTTTTTAAAAGAGAAAATTTATAGTATATAGTCATTTATAGTTCGCTACAAAAATATGTGAATGGTCTACAAAAAAATTTTTAGTATTTTTTTTTACGTAAAATTATTTAAAATATTTTTGATTTCATTTGGAATACTCTTTTCCGCAGATTTGTATGTTATTTAAATTTCTAGCATATAGATTTAAATTTCTAGCATATAGATTTATATTTCTAGCATATAGATTTAAATTTCTAGCATATAGATTTAAATTTTTAGCATATAGATTTAAATTTCTAGCATATAGATTTAAATTTCTAGCATATAGATTTAAATTTCTAGCATATAGATTTAAATTTCTAGCATATAGATTTAAATTTCTAGCATATAGATTTAAATTTCTAGCATATAGATTTAAATTTCTAGCATATAGATTTAAATTTCTAGCATATATATCAAATTTCTAGTATATACTAAGTATAAATCTCTTGCATTATTAATTGCATCTGCTAATTTTTCCTTTTTTTTTTTGAAACCGCACAAACTTCAAAATATTTAACGCGTTTAAGCTAAGATCAGTTTTTATTTGAGTACTTAATTTTATTTGAGTACTTACCGGTAGATAACAATAATATCAGACAGCGACAAAAGAAGGAAGAATAAAATACAAAATTCTTTTTCGCTTCTTCCACATTATTTCTCTCTTCATTCGTCATATAAGATCTTTTGGTATTCCATCAATTATTCACAAAAAATTGAGAATAGTTTAATTGACAAAACGCAGTTGATATGTTCTTAATTTTTTTTTTAATAAATTTCAATATAAAGTATTAAAACAAATTACTTGTATTATATTGTGTACAGTTTAGAAAAATCCAATATCCTCCATAATGCACGCAGCTAGATTAGTTTTCTGTAATGAAACGCTTGGCTGATTTCAGAGCAACAAGCTCACGTGAAGCACGATAATACTCATAAAGTTAGCCTTCTATTGTTTCTTTTTCATTATTAACAACTCCTTTGCTTGTTAATTTTTGTCTAGTTTTTCTATTCTTATACGAGGTTCTGTTTATTCTATTTGACAGACATCTTTTTTTTCACTAACTTGTTTCTTTGTGTTTATTTTGTTTGTTTGTTTTTTTATAGGTTATCATTTTGTTTCTAGGTTATCATTTTGTTTCTAGGTTGTCATTTTGTTTCTAAGCTGTCATTTTGTTTCTAGGTTGTCATTTTGTTTCTAAGCTGTCATTTTGTTTCTAGGTTGTCATTTTGTTTATAGGTTGTCATTTTGTTTACAAGTTATCATTGTGTTTATAGATTGTCATATGTTTAAAGGTTGTCATTTTGTTTATAGGTTGGCATTTGTTTGTAGGTTGTACAAACAAATAAGTTATCATTTGTTTATAGGTTAGTCTGCTAGAAATAACTTAAACCAAAACCATTGCATCAGCATCAGCTAAGGTTGCATAAGTAGCATCAGCTAAGGTTGCATCTCTTCATTGTGCTCGTCACGTTCTTCTCCGGATTCAATTATTTCTATAAATCTCTAATCCTTCGATGTATGGAATACTTATGACATATATGCAGCGGATCTTTGAATGATGCCTAGACAAGATGCAAAAATGTTGTCATTTTATTTATAGGTTGTCATTTTATTTATAGGTTATCATTTTGTTTATAGGTTGTCATTTTGTTTATAGGTTATTATGTCATTATGTTCATAGGTTATTTTGTAAATTCTGTTTCAAAAATTTTTATCGTTTTGAATGAAATAGAATATAGTTACCCTTTGGATGCATTCGGTCAACATTAAAATAATTTTTTTTTTTTTTGTACTTCGCTCTAGTATTTTAAGATTTCGGTAGAGTGATTCCAATAAAGTGATTCTAATAGAGATTTTGATTATTTCTACAAAATTGCTTTTTTTGGATTCTAAATAACAGAATTTTATTCTATGTGATTTGAATATGGATACTATAACGATGTTTTGTTAACTTTAATACATAAGTGTAGTTTCTTAGATTTTATGTAATAATTTTTATCGATTTTACTGGTAACGACAAGCTCAACTACCGGTTATAAAATTATGAACTTCGATTTGATTTATCAATAAATCGATAAACCGGTATTGCAATCCCTATTCATACATTATGTACGTTACATTCCGCTTAAATATGTTTAGTCAATTGACTATTTTTTGCTTCACAAATAACAGATCAAAATTAAGAAAGCTTGTTTATTTATTTATACACCTTATTTTTTTAGTTTTGGTTTCTACGCATTAACTTCGTTAATACGTACCCAGCCGGCATAACGTTGTTTCAACGTTGAAATTCGGTTGAAGCGTTGTTTCAACGTTGTTCAACTATGTCACAACGTTAAATCAACGTTACCGTTTAAACGTTGATTATTTAACGTTTTTTCAACGTTAAACCAACGTTACAGTTTAAACGTTGATTATTTAACGTTATTTCAACGTTAAAGGCCGTTTTCCACAAGACGCGAAGCGAATATTTTCGTCGTTAAGCATGCGCAGATTAAACATTTTTGGCGATTATACTGATTTTTTTTCGCTACAGCGTTTCGCTGCAGCGAAAAAAAAGTCGGATTCATTTCGACTTTTTGCGAATCGCCATAATAAATTTTGAAAATTATATCACGTGATGTCAACATTAAAAAAGCGAAAACATGTTGTTTTTTTTTAAGTAACAAAAAAGAAAATTCTTAACCTGGCGTTCTTATTAATTTTATATGAACTTACTCTAAAAATTGGCTAGCATGAGTAAATTTATCAAACAAGGGGCAAGACTTACATAAAAAAATGACCAGACTTATATATAAAACTAAATCGAAAATTTACAAATATAAATTTTCACACTGTCAATTACGAAAGTTACACTTCATAAGAATGTTTATCTTCAAGTGGCCACACGAAGATAAACCTTTTTGTGAAAAATTCTTTATAGAGTTAAACCTGCTGTTCGTTCTTGCAGTAATAGTTTTTAATAGAAACGTTCATATCAGAGTTTAGCATTTATTTTCTTATACTTTCTTGTAAAAAAAAAACCTTATATTAAAAGATTATATTACAAAATAATATCACATCTTACATATAAAGGCAGAAATGTTAATATTAATGCACGGAAAGAAACTTTCACATGCTTCAAAGTAGAAAGTATGCTAAAAAAGTATTAACTGCTTTCAGTTAAATATACAGCGTAAACTTATTGCTGCCATTTTTATTGTTGACAACGAAAAAAAAGTAGCGCGAAAGAAAGTAAGTGGAAATAAATCAAAACAGCGTTTCGTCGTAGCGAAAAAATTCGCTTCGCGTGAACTTTTCGTCTTGTGGAAAACGGCCTTAAGTCATTGTTGACAAAAAATACGATATAAAATTTATGCGCGCGCAGAAATGGAAGTAAAAACGTAAACATTATTTCAACGGTTTAAGTTAAAGAGATTTATAATGGAAAAAAAATGTAAATACTGAACTTATACCATATAGAATTTTCAAGAGATCGAAAACATGTTCAGACGATTTTCCTGAAAGAACATTATCGTTTAAAAATCGATATTTTTCGTTTAACTTGGGCTACAATGCTCAAAGACTGATATTATTAAATGTAAATATAATACAACTTTTTCAAAAAATGATCCATTAAATTATGTTGAATTTAATGCTAAGCATTGTTTTTTAATAGAGCATCAAGAATTAAAAAAGGAAATTGATAACTTTAAAAAAGAACTTCAGCATGAAACAAAAAAATAAAGATTTATATGAAAAATTAACTTCAACCACATCAGATCTTGCGACTTTTATACTGGCTTTACATCTGTCAATGTGTTTCATCAGTTAGTGCAGTATCACCATTAATCAAAAGAGATAAAACTACTTGGACCAAAATAAATGTAATGCAGCAAAGATGAATTTTTAATGATGCTAATACTTGGATTATTGACAGCTGATTTTGCTGACGGGTTTAATATATTTTTAGGATTAGCGAATGCAATATTTTCTTCATTGTTGAAAGCTTCTAGCTCACTTTTAAACCACATGGTTTTTGTTCCAAGTAAAGATGTTATAAGACAGGCAATACAAAACAGATTTTAGAAATTAAATTATTCAGGCTAACACTAAATTTCAGAAATAACAGAATTTATTATGGAAACATCTTAAAATTTTGACTTACAAGTCAAAATTTTAAAACTAACAGGGAATTTTAAAAACTAACAGGGAATGAATACAAACATTACAACAATATAAAAACAGTACCCGTAGCTCCAAATTCATCAATAATTTTTTTAAAAAATTTCTAAAGCTTACAGAAGCTAAATTTCGGATAAAAAAAATACATATCGCAACAACTATTTAGATTGTATTACAAAATACTCTTGTATAATGTATGATTAAGGCTTTAATATTAATTTTTTAATACAAATAAAGTGATTTTAATTAAATCCATTTTTATCAGTCAATTTAAAAATATAATTATTATATGATAATTAAAATTTTAAACAATAATATTAGCTTTACTTTTTTTTTTTAGGTGAATCAATTGCAATTGATGGAATATCTTTAAAATGCTGAGGTAATCAAAATAATTTTTAATTATTCAGGAATTTTAAGGATTAAATTATTTAGCAAAAAAATTGTTTGATAATGAGTTCAATTTAAATTAAAAAAAAAAAATTAATATTAGTTCTCGCATAATTAATATCATTTCTCTTATTTATTAAAATTTAGAATATTTTCCAACAATTTTGTGACCTCTATGAATATGAAGGGGAAAGGTGAAAATATGCTTTAAGAGCACTAATTTATATGGTGTAGTGAAAGGTATACCTTTATAAGATATGTAAAATTTTTTTATTCTCATTTTTTATATATTCAAAAATTTCTCCTTCTGTTTTTTTTTTTTTTTTTTTTTTCCAATTCTTTTTTATTAACAGCTTCTTCTATAAAATACGATGGAGCGACTGAAATTTTAATTGATGGCATTTTGTCTAACTTCTAAAAATGCGCTTCATTTCGAAAAGGTGACGGAAAAGAAAAAAATTTAGATTGATTGATATAAATTTATATTCATAAAAATCAATCTAAAATTTCTTTATTGAAATATTTACATATATTTCAATAAAGAAATATTTTCTTTTTGTCTGCTAATATTTTTTTTTTCAGTGTTAATTCAACATTACAAATTAAAACTCAATTATAAAAAAACCTAGAATTGAGTTGATGTTTTAAGTAAAATAAGAAAAGTCCAAAAAGTAACTGATGTAATATTTTTATTTTTTGATAAAAAAAAATTCTAATAATGTTTAAAATTGGTATTAATATTAATGTTTATTAGATGAAGATGAGTAAAAAATAAGTAATGTTTATTAGATGAAGATAAGTAAAAAAATACAAGTTACAAGTTATTTTTTGGTCTTGAAAATTGTTTGAATGATAATTTATTATTTATCAAAATGTTTTCTTTTTTAATTTTTGTTGTTTTTATATTTCAATTAAAAGTAGATATTATTGTGTCATATATTATAATATACCTTATATTATACTATTATATTTTATATTAATAATGAGTATTTTTGTTTTTTCGTATTTCTATTTTTTTTTCAATATTCCATAATTATCTTATGTAGATGTTTATGTTTTAGCAACCTAGTATTCTTTCATTATTTGTCTTTGTTATTGAGCCTTAAGTTATTTGAACATAATATATTCAGAACTCTGCTGAATAATAGAGTAATAAATATATTAATAAAAATGAGTTTAAAATATAATAAATTTATAAAATAAAGAAAATCTTATCTTTGCTAATAATGTCTACTAATATTATTGTTTAGCAAGTATCATGGTTATAAAATGTTCAAGTTTAGCTAGTTT